CCTCCCCCCCCCTCCCCCGTGTGCAGCTGCAGCGCCTGCTGCCCGTCGTGAAGCCCTACACCTGCTCCAGCAACTTCCAGGGTCGCATCGGGCTGTGGCGCGCACGTGGGGGGGCGGAGATAACACAAGGGAGGAGTACAGTGGGGGTGCGCAACAAGAAACCATGTGCTTTTCGTCAGGGTACCCTGGGTTTCTTCGCTCCGCCCGCTGCGCGGTGACTTCCCGCAGCCGTTGAAGAAGCTGCTGCGTTCAGGGCGCTCCCAGATTCCCCTCAGGCGCACCTCGCGCGCGGGTTTTCAGGGTTGGGTTTCTTGCGAGGGTTTCTTGCGGCCGCGCCCTCACTGTACAAGAGACCGGGGTCGGCCAGGGGAGGGAAGGGGGGAGAAGGATAGCCAACCAAGGGAAGGAAGGAGGCCAGAAGGAGGGATGGGAGGGAAAAGAGGGGAGGAGGGCGGGAGGGAAGGAGGCACGGGGGAGGGAGGCGAATGGATGGGAAAATGGGGGTAGGAGGGGAACGAGGACAGGCTGGAGAGAGGTAAGAGGAGGGAGGGAGGAGGGAGCCCTCGGGCGAGCGCATGCCCATCCTGTATCATCTTGTCGACCTCGGTGGCCTGGGGAGACTGGGCGCCCCGAAGCTCGACGAGAGCTGCCAAATTGCAATTCTGACGCCGTTCAGATCGGGGGGAGGGACAGGAAGATGAGGGGGGGGGGGGGAGGCGGAGAAGGAGAATGCGAAAGAGGGAAGGGAGAGGGGGGAGCTTAGAGCTGGTGCTGGTGCTGATGATGGAGGTGATGATGATGATGGTCTATGATGCGGATGATGGTTTGTGTTGATGATGGTTTATGATGGTACTGATGCTGCTGATGCTGCTGATGATGGTGATGGTGATGACGATGACGATGATGGTGATGGTGATGGTGGCGGTGATGAGGATGATCATAGTAATGACGATGATGATTATGATGACGATGATCCATTATGGTGTTGATGCTGTTTATGATGACCACGATGCCGATGATGATGATGATGGTGGTGATGATGGTGATGATGATTATGGTGGTGGTGACGATGATGAGTATGGTGACGACGTTGATGATGACGATATTGTTGATGATGGTGATGGTGATGGCGATAGCACTGGTACTGGTGATGGTGGTGGTGGTGATGATGATATGATGATGATGATGCTGATGCTGATGATGATGATGATGATCGTGATGCTTTCAATGATGCTGGTGCTGATGATGCGGATGATGAGGAACATGTTGTCGGTGATGCTGATGATGGTGATGATGGTGCTGCTGTCCATGATGATAATGATGATGATGACGATGATGATGAGGAAGGTGATGCGGATGATAATGGTGATGATGGTGGTGGTGATGATGATGCTGACGATTAGGATGCTGATGCTGATGATGGTCCTGATGGTGATGATGCTGCTGATGATGGTTATGATTGTGATAGTGGCGGTGATGGTGATGATGATTGTGATGCTCATGATGATGCTGTTGCTGATGTTGATGATGATTATGATGATAGTGATGATGATGATGATGATGATGATGATGGTAATGATGATGATGATGATGATGATGATGATGATGATGATGATGATGATGATAATCATGATGATGATGATGCTGATGATGATGATGATGCTGTTGATGATGATGATGATAGTGATGATGACGATGCTGCTGATGATGATGACGATTACGATGATGATGATGATGATGATGATGATGATGATGGTGATGGTGATGATGATGATGCTGATGATGGTGATGGTGATGGTGATGGTGGTGATGGTGATGGTGGTGATGATGATGATGATGATGATGATGATGATGATGATGATGATGATGATGATGATGGTGATGGTGGTGATGGTGATGGTGATGGTGATGGTGATGGTGATGGTGATGAGAGGAGGAGGAGGAGGAGGGGAGGAGAGGAGGTGGTAGGAGGAGGCGAGGAGGGGAGAGGAGGAAACGAGGAGGAGGAGGAGAGGAAGAGGAGGATGAGGATGAGGAGAGGATGAGGCGGGGGGCGGGGGAAATGGGGGAGGGGGGGTTGTGGGGGGAAAGGGGGGGGGGATGAGGGAGGGGGAGGGGGAGGGGGAGGGAGAGAGAGGGATGATGAGGACGAGGGGTGGGGGGGAGGGGGAAGGGGGATGGGCAGGGATGGGGGGAGAGGGAGGGAGGGGGGTGATGATGATGATGATGATGATGATGATGATGATGATGATGATGATGATGATGATGACGATGCTGACGATGATGATGATGATGATGATGATGATGATGATTGATGATGATGATGATGATGATGATGATCATGATGACGCTGATGATGATGATGACGATGATGATGAGGGATGATGATGATGGTGATGATGTCGTTGATGATGGTGATGATGATGCAGATGATGATGATGATGATGATGATGATGATGATGATGATGATGATGATGATGATGATGATGATGATGATGATGATGATAGTGAAGATGATGAGGAGGAGGATGAGGATGAGGGTGATGAGGATGGCTATGGCGATGTCGATGACGATGACGATAACGATGACGACAATGACGACGATGATGACGCTGATGATGGTGATGATGATGATGGTGGTGATGATGATGATGATGATGCGCATGATGCTGATGCTGCTGATGATACTGATGAACATGAGCTCAAGCATGACGATGCTGATGATGATGCTGATGATGGTGATGATGATGGCGATGATGACAATGATGATGAGGATGAGGATGAGGATGATGGTGCTGATGATGATGATGATGGTGATGATCATGATCATGGTCATGATCATGATGATGATGATGATCATGGTGATGGTGATGGTGATGATGCTGATGACGATGATGATGATGATGCTGATGCTGATGCTGATGATGATGATGATGATGATGATGATGCTGATGATGATGATGATGATGATGATGATGATGATGATGATGATGATGATGATGATGATGATGATGATGATGATGATGATGATCAGGCATATGAGGATAACGACGATGAGGATGAGGAGGAATGTGGGGATAATGATGAGGATGAGGATGATGATGGTGATGAGGATGAGGATGAGGAGGAGGAGGAGGAGGAGGAGGAGGAGGAGGCGGAGGCGGAGGAAGGCGGAGCGCAGGCGGAGGCGGAGGCGGGAGGAGGAGGCGGAGGAGGCGGAGGAGGAGGAGACGGAGAGGAGGAGGAGGGGGGGAGGAGGGGCGAGGGGAGGAGGGGGGAGGATGGGGGCGGGGAGAGGAGAGGGGAGGATGCAGAGCAGGACGTCTCGCCGAGCCGCTCCTCCTGCAGGACCCACCCCCGAGAGTCGGCTTGGCATTGGCCTCGGGCTCCTCGCCGAGCGTATTCGGTGGAAAGGCGACCGAGGAGGAGAAGGAGGAAGAAGAAGAAGAGGAGGAGGAGAAGGAGTCCGAGCGGGAGGAAGGTCTGAGGTGGAACAGTCCGAGGAGGCGAGAGCGCGAGGTCTGCCCATGGCGGCCTCGGCGCAGAAGGGTCTCACGTTGGACGACACCACCTTCCTGAACTGCTCGCACCTTCTCCCGCAGCAGTGGCCTCACACGGGCGGCCCCACCGCGCCGCCTCTGGGGGGGAGGGGGGAAAGGGGGGCGATGCGGCTGAGGATCACGCGGGCGGACTTGATGTAAAGGATCGAGGGGGATGAGGGGGATCGAGCATCGTGAAGGATCGAGGGGGAGGAGGAGGAGGGGGAGGAGGAGGAGGAGGAGGAGGAGGAGGAGGAGGAGGAGGAGGAGGAGGAGGATCGAGGAGGAGGATCGAATATGATCGAGGAGGAGGAGGAGGATCTAGGACGAAGTAGAGGGGGGGAGGGGAGGAGAATCAGGAGGAGGGATCGACGAAGGGGAAGATCGAGGAAGGACAGTGAATGACCGAGGAGGAGGAGGAGGAGGAGGAGGAGGAGGAGGAGGAGGAGGAGGAGGAGGAGGAGGAGGACGCGCAGGCCTGATGGTCTCCGCAGCCAGCCGAAACTCGCTAGGGTGCCACGATACTGAACAGCGGTAAGCCTGGCCACGTGGGAGGGCACCGTTTTGTTGGGAGCCCCGCTCGCGGGCGACGACGGCAGCAGCCGCTTCTGGTGCGGGAGGGGAGCGGCGGAGCTGGAGGCTCCGCCGCCGCAGGAGCCCCCCAGGCCGACCCCGACAGGACAGGCAGCACGACCCAACAGGCCTGCGGCTCACGCCCTTCCCCTCCTCCTGCCCCCCTCCCTCCCACCTCCTCCCCCTTCCTCCCACTCCACATCTACCTCCTCCTCCTCCTCATCCTCCTCCTCCTCCTTCCTCCTCCTCCTCCTCCTCCTCCTCCTCCTCCCCCTCCTGCGCCTCCTCCTCGTCCTCGCACTTGTCCTCGCCCTCCCCCCCAGCGTTCCCGGGCTCCAGTGGTCTTGTTGCTCCTCGAGCTGGCTGGGCCCGGGGAGCGCCTCGAGCTGCGTGTGTGGCTCCTCGAGGCCATGCCGGGCCGCCCGTCGGCGAGGCGGCGCCGCGGTGCCTCCAGGCTCCCGGCTGGGCCGTGTTCTCCGCCGCACGGGAGGGGTTTGCCAGGCTCGGGGAGGTTGGGGAGCAGTGAGGACGAGGGTGGAGGTTCGGCACGGTGGAGCAGGCGCATGGCGTGGAGAGCGGTGCTCGGGGAGGCGGGCGAGCAGAGCGGAAGCCGGACGTGGAGGAGGGCCAGGATGTTCCTGCCCGTGCTCCCCGATTGCCAGCTGGGGAGGGTCAAGGGAGGAAAGAGCAACGCCCCGACCCCCGTCATTGGCGTTTGCTAGACGGTATTCAGCGCTGTCTTCACGGTCATGCTCTGTGCGATTGATTTCCTCCGCGGGTGCACGTGTAAACGTGCTTCGCTTGTACAGTCAAGACGCTGAAATCAGGACCGCTTTGGGTTCGGAAGTTGGCTCGTTCCATGGCTGTTTCTCCAGTCCTCCTCGTGTACGCAGGCGCGTTTGGTGCTAAAGAAGGAATTCGTCCCTTGTTAAGCGTTCCTTATTTCAGCAACCAGACTGTAGGGATGATTATTAATCGCTTCGATCATTCCGCCGGGCCTGGAGCCCTCTTTAGGGCCTCTTGGGGACCTCTTGGGAGTCTCTCGGGGCTCCTCGGCGGCGGGCCCCCCAGGGCCTCTTGGGGGGCTCTTCGGGGCTTCTTGGGGCGGGAGGGGGGGTAGTCGATTGCGGCTCCCCCCTCGGAGGCCACGATCCTCGTGAGGGGTGTCGAAACATGGCCCTCCCTTGGAGCGTTCTGGGGACCTGACCGGGACCAGGCCGGGGTACTTTTCGTCCGGGGGCCCTCAGGGGCCGCTCCGCGCGGGCGAAGTAAAAATATTGTCAGCCAGATACCTTGTCAGCCAGATACCGGAGATCTTAGCACGTCTCTGGCCCGTTGGGCCGGCGAATTCTGTCCTCTTTGGGGGGCAGCGGACGTCATCATTTGCTGTCAAGGCAGGGGACACGGGCGGGGGGGGGGGGATATTTGGGAGGCCATTTTTGGGAGGCGGAGAACGGCGAGGATGAGCAAGGAGAGGGCCGGGTCTCGCCAAGATCAGACTCTCGCGCGGGGGCCCCCCTTGGTGCGCTGCCCTCCTCCTCCTCCCTTCCTCCTTTCCTCATCTTCCTCCTCACTCCTCCCCTCACTCACTCCTCACTACCGCCTACTCAATACTCACTGCCGCACCGCACCTCCTTATCCTTCCCCCTCCTCCTCCTTTTTCTCCTCCTCTTTTCTCATCATGCCTCTTTCGCTCCTCCTCCTTATTTCCTCCTCCTCCCCCTAACTCCCTCCTCCCCATCTCCCCACTCCTCCTCCTCCTCCTCCTCCTCCTCCTCCTCCTCCTCCTCCTCCCCATACGTAGCCATTTTGGCTCAATATGCTTTGTTCCACAGGGGAACACGTGGATACCGCTAGTCCGCGGCCAGTGTTCAATCCTTCCCCTGGTCAGCCCCAGGGCGAGCGTCGAGGTGGTCCGCCCCGCCTTGGCGCGTCGCTCTCATCCCAGGCATGGTGCCGCAGCCGCCAGCAGTCACTGTGTTCCGCGGCCCGCGCAAGCCCCACTGGTGCTGCGGGCAATGCGGGCGCGCGGCGAACTGGGCGTGCCGCATCCAGTGTCCCTGCGGTCGCGATGCGCCTGCCGCCATCGTCTCTCGTGCGCGCCAGAAGCACAAGGAGGCAAGCGACGGCAGTGGCAGCGGTGGCAAGAAAGGGGTTCCCAGGAGGCAGGCGGGGGCTCCCAGTGGTCTGCCCAAGGAGCTTGCCGAGTGGATGCAGACCATCGAGAAGCGCCTGGCGCCGCCCGCTGCCGCGTGGCCCAAGCCTGGAGGCACGGCGCCGTGGCACGAGTCTGCTGCAGGTAACAGTGCCGATCCCGACAAGAAATCCCAGAGTGCCAAGCTTGCCGAGCGGATCACGGAGCTTGAGGAGGCCCTCAAGAAGCTCCCGCCCGTTGACGAGCGCAACACTGATCTACGGAGTCCGATCGAGAATCAGTTGGAGGCACTGCGTGCGGAGAAGCGTGCACTATTGTCTCCCCAGGCCCTCCATCGGCGCACGCAGCAGGACCTGCAGCGTGCGCGGAACGGCCTCGAGAAGTTGGAGAAAGAGTTGGCAGAACAGGAGAGTCAGTTGGTTGAGTTATCCAAAAGCATCGAGCTGCGCAAGCAGACCATCGAAGCCAAGAGGTTGGAAGTTGCGGCGCTCGACGCGGCCTTCGCTGAGACGGCCAAGGGCGTCGCCGCCAGCGCTGTCGACATCGACCTCGCCGAGGACGACGTGGCCGACCATCCTGAGCTCGTCGCCATTCTCAAGTCCGAGGCCTGGGCCAAGCTCAAGGCCGCGGTCGCCAGCAAGACTGCGGCCCGTGCCTGTGGCGCTGGGGCTGCTGGCGCTGCTGCAGATGACGGTGATGTACCCATGGGAGCTGGCCCGACTGCAGAGCAAAAGAAGGCACTCTACCATGCTCGGACGGAGGGCAGCATCGACGATTTCGTGCAGGCGTTCGACGCCATGTGGTCCGAGGTGGAGCTCAAGCGCGCGCGGCGGGGGTAGCCCTGCTGCTGCCTTGGGCTCGTGCCAGCCAGGAGTTTGCACTGGTGCTGCTGAGGGCCCGCCGTGCGCCGCCGCTTGGGGCGTGGCCTGCCCTGGGTGCTGAGTCCAGCATCGAGTCCCACAATGCGAGCGGTGGCAAGGCGTCTGTCAAGAAGCGCCATGGCAGCACCGCGGCCAGCGTCGTGCTTCTGCAGGAGTTCGGGCACATCAGCGAGCATGTCGAGGCGCTGAGCTCCTGGTGTGGTGGTCGAGGCTGGAGGCTCTTGGCGCTTCCGGGCCTGCCCGCGGTGGGCTCGGTGCCGTCTGCAGGCGTGGCCGTCGCTGTGCGCGACTGCCTGGGCGCGCGGCCTCCAGTCCATGAGTTGCACGAAGTCTGGCCAAATCGAGTTCAACACGTTATGATTGATGTGCCTGATCTGCCCACCAGCCTCCGCGTCTTCAATGTCTACCTGTTCATGGGTGAGGGTGCTGGCGGGCGGAACGGCAGACTACTGCAGGAGTGGGGCCTGGTTGCCGAGGCTTTGAACGGCCCCGTCATCGTTGGCGGCGACTGGAACATGTGCCCTGGTGAGCTTGAGGCGAGCCGATTTCCTGCCCATGGTGGTTGTGCGCTGGCGAGTGCACCTACGATTACGTTTCGCGGAGGACCAGGTCAGTCCATCATCGACTATTTCCTCCTCAATTCGGCGGCCAGGAGGATGTATGCTAGCGTCGGCATTGATGTCAAGTGGGCCAAGCGCGGCCATCGACCAGCCCACTTACTCCTCAAGGGTGATGCCGAGCATGTCAAGAGGCTGGTCTACACGGTGGCGCCAAAAATGAGCACCCTGGTTATCATCGGCCCTCAGCCTCCACCCCCGCCATATGACAGTGCGCGGCGAGTTGCTGAAGTTGCCGCCCAGGCATGTGCGGACGAGGGGGTCCATCCTGAGGTTGGCTGGGGTCTCCTCTCTGCTGCGTGGGGCCATCTCGCCGTGCGAGCCGCTGAGGAGATCGCTGCTGCTGTCGGGCACCATGATTGCAATGTTCGAGCTTTTGCGCGCCCGCTACGGCCTCGATGGGTTGGCAGCACCTGCGCGATTAAGGGCGCCCCCGACCTTCAGGCTGTGTCTGTGGGCTGGCAGCGGTTGCAGAGTTCCCCCCATCAGCATCATGGGTCTCGAGAGGCTGGCCAGCCTGTCCGCGCGGGACCTTGCGATGGTCGCCGAGGAGGTCTTCAATTTCACTGCGGCGGTCTTCCGCGGGCAGGGCCTGTCCACGCGCCTGGAGCGCTCCGCCCAGCAGGCGCAAGTGCTCGTGCAGGGCGAGTTCGACGAGGAGGCCTGCCGCGCGTTCCTTGGCGACAGTGAGCCTGATATCAAGCTCGCGGCCAGTGGCGCGTCCAAGGAGGATCACCAGAAGTGGAAGGAGCGGCGTGCGATGGCGGTCTCCAGCGGTCCACGCGTCCTCCACCGCACCACTAGGCACCGTGACCTTGCGCCGCCCACGGTGGTCCCGACGGCCCAGGGCCCGTCGGCGCACGTGCATGATGTTGTTCGGCATGAGGTTGAGCTGTGCAAGAAGTTGCGGTCCAGCTCCCGACCTGTGCCGACCTGGATCCTTGATAGGACTACGCTGGAGAGGGCGACCGCCAAGGATATACGCGCGGTTGCTCGGACGTTCTCCTCGACTACCACGGTGGCGCCTGACAACGTGCATCCACGTCATTTCCTGTTGCTGGATGACCATGCGCTCGAGGTGGTCGCCCTCCTTTTCTCTGCGATGGAGGCCCTCGGCATGCCGCCGCGGCAGCTCCGCTGGCTGGTCACGCCGATGTTGCCCAAGTCGTCCGGCTCGGGGAATCGGGTGGTGCTCCACGCTGGCCTCTGCAGTGTCTGGCAGCGCCTGCGACGGCCAGTGCTGCGGGAGCTGCAGGAGCGGATCGACAGGCCGTACTGGGGCGCGGCGCGAGGGCGCTCCCCTGTCGATTGCGCGTGGCTTCAGGCGGCCGAGGGCGAGGCCGACCACCGGCAGTCCTACCATGGCGCGCTGGCTGTAGCCGATTTCAGCAAGTACTACGAGCGCATCCCGTCGGCAAGGCTGCGGGACAAGTTTATCAGTTTCCAGACACCGACGGCTTTTCTGAACTTGGTGCACAACATGTGGCGCGCACCTCGTGTTCTTCGGCTCGCTGGCCACCGCGCGGAGCAGGCCCTCTGCGCCGAGCGCGGCCTCCCTGCAGATGGCGTGTATTGCGACGTGTCCGTCATGATCTGGTCGGTGAGGGAGTATGATAGCTTCCTTGTCAGACAGCCGCACATTCAGTTTGTGAGTTACATCGACGACAATTCGATTCGGGTGTCGTCAACGTCTGCGGCGAGGACTACGTCCATGATGGTCGAAGCCATGCGGGAGTTCAAGGCCGCGGTCTCGGAGCTCGGCGCAGTTGTCAATGACAAACTCGTGATCGCGGGCGCCAGCTTCTCCCTCGCGCAGGGCATTGTCAGCGCGCTTGGTATCACATCAGTTGCCCGTCGCAGCGACGCGTATGTTGGAGCTGATGTTAGCGAGGGCTGTCGGCGCGCCGACAGATGGGGCCCTCGCCAAGCGCATGAAGCGCATGGCGCACACGGCGAGGCGCATGCGGAAGATCAGGCGCTTCGGGAAGGTCATCATTGGCAACAAGGCGCAGTCCATCGGCTGCGTCTTCTGCGCTGGCGCCATGCCCGAGGCCACCTACGGCAGCGAGGTTGTCGGGCTCGGCAACTCGGAGTGGCTTCGGTGCAGGCGCGATGTGGCGTGCGGACAGCTTCATGCGCACGGCGGAGTGAGCCTCTCGAGCAAGACGGTTTTGCTCGGCGACGGCGCAGGCGCGTCAGCCATTGCACTTGCCATACAGTGGCGCAGAATGCTTTGACAGGCGTGGGTCTGTGAGCATCCACTCGCTGTCCGCGCTCGCCTGTTGAGGCTCTGGCGTGAAGCCGAGCCATGCGAGGTCTCCGACTGGCAGTCCAGTAGGGGCCCTCTGCCTCGAGCAGTACTTGCCGTGCGACGGGCGGGCTGGCGCGTCCTCTCTGCGATCAGTCGGATGGACCATAGGGGAGCTACGATTGATATTAGTCGAACGCCTCCGAGTATGCTGTCTGCCCCCACGCTAGCTGGAATTCAACGGCAGCACGAGAAGTCATTATCCATGCAGCTGGGAGCTCCACAAGGTTGCAGGGCCTCGCTTGACTTCGTTCGATCGGCGATCGGCGGTCGGTCTCGTCGGTTTTCCAGTCTGCAGAAGCTTCTCGTCGGGAGCTGCTCTTGCCGCGGTGTCTGGACCCAGGCCCGCGCCCATGCTGCTGGTTACCTTTGTGATGGTCTCTGCGCGTGTGGGCAGAGGCAGACGATTAAGCACTGTCTCTTTGAATGCATGTTGCGTCCAGTTGTGGCTGCGCGCACCGAGTCTAAGGTCAGCCCGCTTTTCTTGAGCGCAGGCCTTGGGTCTGACGATCCCATCTTTGTCCAAGGAGTGTTTCTTTATGGTTAGGAAGAACCCCCCCCCCTTCCTGCTCGGATGAAGTAGTCCTCGAGGGCCCTGAGGGGGAGGAGTTGGACGTTGAGGTGGAGGGGGTGGCGCCTCTGGTTCAGGGCCCCAGCCTGGGCGCAGCCCCCGACGGTTCTTGCGCGCGGCCGGGCCTTGTTGAGCTTGAGCGCGCTTCCTGGCCCATAGCTGTTTTGTCGCTTGACTCTAATGTGCCCGTTGCAGTGATGCGCGGGCCCGTGGCAGGCTACCCCCTTCAAACTCCGAGCATCGCCGAGGGCGTCGCGCTCTGTCCGATTGGCCAGATTGCCGACCGCGAGACCTTCGCTGGAAGTGGTTGCCTGGCCGCCATCCGACGTTTTCAGCAGCCCGTGCAGACCCAGCTGCGTGCGTCAAACCAGGCAGCGGGCATCCTCAAGTTTGGTCGTGGCCTCGGTGGCCACCATTTCACCTCAGCTCGGCATGTCAAGGCTCACAGGCCCCAGGAGCAGATCGATTGTCTGGAGGCCGAGGAGCGTCATTGGGCCGAAGCGAACCGATTCGCTGATCATCACGCCAAGCTTGCTGCCAGCTTGCATCCTGCGTTGTCGCCAGAGTTATTGGCCAAACTCGAGCTTGCGAGGAGCCGAGCCGCCGATTTTGTCTCGCTAGCTGCAGCTGTCCTCCCGTGTTTCCTCGAGGACAGCCCGCAGCGTTGGCGACGGCCAACAGCGCTGCATCGGGAAAGGAGTAGTCGTGGGGAGGGGTGGCACTCTCGGGGCTTGGGTGAGCTGGGATGGCAGTGCGAGGTGTGCTTCAAGGTTGCGCCGCCATGCCGCAACCTGCCTTTGAATGGATGTCTCGGGGCCCCCGTTTTTCTGAAGCCTCTCACGGTTGACGCGATGGCGCATCAGTTGGTCGCAGTTTGTGGTTCTCGTCTTGCTCCGCTGCGCCCCGTGCAGTGCCGTGCCGAAGTCGAGAGTGAGGCTCGACGGGGTCCCCTGCTATGTCCGAAGTGTGGAGGGTGGAGTCAGGAGAAGGCCATCAAGTTAGCCAGGCCCTGCGCTCCCTCCACAAGCACAGGAACAATTATTCTGTTTCGTTTTCGGAGAGGGCTGGCCCCGAGTCCCCGAATTCGTGCGTTGATCGACCGAGCCATCCCTGCCTCTCGGGTCGGTCTCAGTGTTGCGAGTGCGCGGGATGTCCGCGCTCCGACGTCTGTCGTGCAGTATTCGTCGGACAGCGTCGTCCCGCATGAAGCTCGAATGGCACGCCTCTTTGCGCAGGTTCGCGTTCGAGAGGAGGCTCGCAGCAAGGTTTAAGTTTTGGAGCGGGTGCGCCTGCCGCTGTGGGCGAGGGTGGTTTGTGGCCGCTTTCTCGTCCTCTCAAAAATCTCCCCTTGGTGCACCCCGCCCTCATTTGGTATTGGGCTGGCCCCTCCCTCCTTGGACTCGCTTCCTGGGAGTCGCCTCATCCCATCTCATCTCATCTCATCTCATCTCATTTCATATCATGTCATGTCCTCCTCCTCCACTCCTCCTCTCCTGGGATGCGCGCGGGCCTGGGGCAGACAGATTCCCATCCCTGCGAGCGGCGTGAACTTCCGCCATGGGCGAAACGGGTCTTGAGGGAAACGGGTCCTGAGGTCTGTCGCTGCGTCTGGCTTCTCGGGGCCCTCCGCGGGCCCCAGTACTGTCAGAAACTGACTCAGGAGCCGTTTCCCACCTGCCAGCAATTTATCTCGAGACCAATCTTGTGATTCCTTCGGGCGCTTAAGGGCGCGTCCCCGAGATTGGCATCGACCTGGGGCTTGTCAGTCGTAGGGGTGGGCGCAAGTTCGAGGCTGGCTGCTGGGGGCGCGGCTCTGCAAAGCCCCCCCACGTGGCTGCCATGGCGCGCGCCGCGGAGGTCATGTTTGACAGTCTTGGCGGCCTCTCCCCGGTCGTCTGGCGCACCTGGAGACCCTTCGGGGTGGCTTTCGGGAGCCGTCCGGAGATTCTTCCGGGCCCTCTGCGGCCGCAGTGGAACGTCTTGGCGCGCTTCGGGCCCGTCGTGCGCCTGCCGAAGCAGACATAGCCGGTGAGAGACAACAATTCAGGAAGCGTCTGGAAATTGCATGCGCTCCAAGGCACTCAACGCGTGGAAGGGCGTTGCCAAGGCAAACAGGGGCCGCGCGCACATGCCTCTCGCTGCGCTCGTCGAAAGTACGTGCACTCGGAGCCGGCGAGCGAGAAAGGCGGGCCCAAAGGGTGGTGCGAAAAAACGACAGGCTGAGCAGCGGGCTCCGTTGTTGAGACGCGCTGCCGGGGAAGCCCCCCCCCAATCCGAAGGGGAGGCCGACGCCAGCAAAAGCCACAGCGAGAGTGGCCGCAGTGGCGGCCAGCTACAGCAGCGCGACCAGAACCAGGACTCCCAGCTGCGCCCCGCAGAGCACCAGCGACAATAGCAGGACTCCCAGCCGCAGCAGTTGCCCCAGCAGCGCCAGCAGGAGCAGCAGCACCACCAGCCCCAGCAGCTGCCCCAGCAGCAGCAGCAGCAGCAACTGCCCCAGCAGCTGCCCCAGGGGCTGCCCGTGCAGCACCTTCCCCTGCAGTCTGGGCCACCGCTGCAGCAGCAACACCAGCACCAGCAACGCCGCCAGCAGCCCCAGCAGCACCACCAGCTGCCCCAGCAGCACCGCCAGCCCCAGCAGCTGCCCCAGCAGCACCACCGGCCCCAGCAGCGGCCCCGGCAGCAGCGGCAGCAGCAAATGCCCCAGCAGCTGCCCCAGGGGCTGCCCCTGCAGCAACTGCCACTGCAGTCTGGGCCACCGCTGCAGCAGCCGCGGCAGCCTCAACTGCCACTCCAGCAGCAGCAGCAAGGTCCGTTCCACTTCGGCCACGCGGCGCCACAGGGCTTCAGTCCAGTAGCCTCCCAGTCGGAGCCGCCCGCGGCGAGCATGGCCGCAGCGGCGGCCAGCTCGTCTGCCCTGGCTCCGATTGGGGCACGCTGCAGATCACGGGCCCACAGCGCCGCGCCCATGGCCCAGGACCCCCCGCCACCACCGTCGGCGGTGCCTTGCTCGGTCCTTCGGGCTTCGAGGCGTCGCGCCAGCCGCCCCCGGGAAACCATTGCGAGGTGGCGGAGTTCCACCCGCCAAGTGGCGGTCACGAGCAAGTCGCCGCGCCGCGGGCAATGGCGCAACGCGACCGCGCGGAGATGCGCGGAGAGACGGAACGTAGACTGACGGAAATGCGCGCGTGGCACCAGGAACATATAACAAACTCCTGGTGCGCACCGACACCACCAGAAAGGACGCGGGGAAGGATGCGAATGCAGTGGTCGACACCCTTGGACAACATAACAAGAGGTTGACCGAGCAGAACGACAGGCTGCAGGAGAGGGTGGGCAGATGCACCGACGGGGGCGACCCAGGCGGGATAACCTCGAGGTGGCGACGCGAGGCCGCGGCGGCGGCCTGTCGCTCGGCCCGCGCGCGGGCCCCGCGCGCGAACGGCGAAGCAACTGGGCCAAAGTTGCGCGACAAAAAAACATCAACGCCGGTGTCATCAACATTGCCACCATTATCATCGGTAACTTCATCATGCATGTTTCTTCTTTATCGTGCACTGCGACCCGCCGTGATGCGGTGATACGCGTCGCTCGGACAACCGCCCGAGCAACACTAGCACATTTTCATTCGTATTCTGCGCGACGCCATGGCGACATGCAGGGGGCCAGACAGTGACACCACTCACGGATGATACTTTTCCCCAACAAAGCTTATAATATCTTGCACGTCGACGTGGGGTCATGCAGTGAATGGAAGAAGCGAACGAGGCAGAGAGCGAGATATATCTGAAGAAAAGATAACCCAGTCAAGCGACATCGACACACGGTGACACGATCTTAAACAAAAAACAACTGACCAACATCTTATCGTGCATGTGCGTCCCGGGAAACGCTATAAGAGCATTTGCAGATCTGCCCGGGAAGCGCTCGTATAGCGTTTACAGGTTTTTGGCAGACTTAGCCTCTTGGTCTCATAATTGTGGTTTTTGGATTGATTGTTATGGCCGTTGTGCAAAATTAGTGATCGCGTTGCTATTGTCATTTGTGCTTTCCCCCTCTGCCCCCTTGCATGTTGCGGCTCGACTCTGCGCGCCTCCCATGTGCCGCTGGACCTCCCTGCGCGCCACCTGCCCCGCATGAGGCCCAGAGTCCCCCCCCCCGCGTGCGGCAAGGCGGCGGGCCGAGCGCTGCGCATGCCGGTTGGGCACCGGGGCCCGGTCTGACAGCCAGTTCGGCGAAAAGAGAGACGGAAAGGGGCAGAAACGCCGTGGGCGGGAAGGGCAGACTGCCAGAAGTGGCGCGAGCGCGCCCGGTTTGGCCTATCCCCTCTTCCTCGCCCCGTTTCTCTTTTGCGTCCCCAGTTCCCCTCCCCGTGCCCACCCACATCCCCGTTCCTTTCCCCCGTTGCCCTCCTCCTCGTCCCCCTCCTTCTCTTCCTCCTCCTCCTCTTCCTCCTCCCCCTCCTCCTCCTCGTCCTCCTCCTCCTCCTCTTTCTCCTCCTCCTCCTCCTCTTCCTCCTCTTCCTCCTCCTCCTCCTCCTCTCCCTCCTCCTCCTCCTCCTCCTCCTCCTCCTCTCCTCCTCCTCCTACTCCTCCTCCTCCTCCTCCTCCTCCTCCTCCTCCTCCTCCTCCTCCTCCTCCTCCTCCTGGGGGTTTAGCTCGTCGTCTGTCCAGTCCTCGGTGGAGCGGTGGTCAATCGGAAGCTGGCCAAACCAGAATTGGGGTGAGAGGCGCGGAGGCTCCCAGGCTTGCGGGCCAGCCCGAACTCTGCCTCTCGGGCGTCTGCCATTGTTTTTGGTTTCATCGAGCAGCGGGCTCGGCAGCTCGGCCGATCGGCCCAGCGGCGCGACCCCGACCCGGCCGGCGAGGACGATTTGGTCCACTGGCTCTTCCTTGAGGCAAGCACCCGCCGCGTGCCCATGGCTGGGATGGTCACCGCCCACCAGACCACCCCAACCCAACCCGAAGGCCTCAATTTGGCCTCCATTTCCAGTGGGGTGAGTGGGGGAACATTGAAAAGACACGGGCGGAACCCGTACCCCCCCCAGCCCGAAATTCGGGTCTTCGGGTTGGGTTGGGGTGGTCTGGTAGGTAGTCATATGGCGCCCCCCAGCCAAGGTGGCACAAAGTTCCTCTCCGATGGTGCTTGCCCATGTTTTTTTTTTTTTTTTGTTTCCCCCCCCCCCCCCGAGGCCAGGACCTTTTTTTTTTGTTTTTCTCTCTCTCTCTCTCTTTTTTCTCTCTCTCTCTCTCTCTCTCTCTCTCTATCTCTGTCTCCCTCTAGGAGCGTCCAATCCTCCTCCTCCTCCTCCTTCTCCTCCTCCTCCTCCTTCTCCTCCTCCTCCTCCCCTCTCCCTGCCCGTGCCCCTCCACACCTGTTGCCTACCGTCTTGAACGAAGGTGAGACCGTGCAGGCCCTGCGGCTGTTCAAGTCCTGGGACCCAGCTTGGGACGACAGGGACCGCGAGAACGCGTGGAGCAACATCGTGGATTACGTGAACTCAAACAACGCTAAGGCGCCTCTTTATCCTCGTAGTCGCCCTCCTCCACCTCATCTGTGTTATCATGGTCTCAATCGCGCTCTGATCCTCGTCATTATGCTCTTCTTGGTCATCGGTATCTTCGGCTTATTCATTATCCTCCCCACTATGTCTCACCTCCTCCTCCTCTTCTGTATTTTCGCCGTCGGCCACCTTATGCGCTCTTCGTGCTGACTATGCCAAGACTCCTGACGTCGTTCTCACCGTGGTTTCAAGACAGCTAACAACGACAACAAAGACAAAGGAACATGTTCACTCAGCTTAGCCGTGCATTAAAGAAACTGCAGGATAACATCGAGAGGGCGAAAGATGAGGTGAAGGAGGTGAAGTGTAAGCTAGCAGACTTGCAAGACAATATGGAGGAAATGAAAGTCGATGCGGGGGAGGCCGTGCATACACATCCACCCAAGATGGAAGGGAGAGACTAACATGACGAGGTGGGGAATGCTGACCGCTTCAAGCAGGCAATCGCGTTCGATTTCGCAGCAAATTCACTATCAGCAGCATTGGTGGACCACCCTGGGAAATGGCTCCAAATACATCTGGGTAGTGGTACGCGTGCGACGGTGACGACAGGGGCGAATCCAGCCAAAATGGCTACGATAGAACTTCCCAGCGTTCCGACCAGAGTCGAGTTTTGGCGAGGTGGCGACGGGGCGGTGATGGTGAGAACGGGGCCGTCGGACCATCCCGCAGGCCCAGGTCCTTGCTTAGCAGAGCAAACATCAGCGCAGAGAGAGAAAGCAATGCGCTTCCGTGCAAAGCAGAACGGAGCAGAGCAGAGCAGCACAGAGAAATCGACGCACCCGAGTGTGGCGCAGTGCAAGATCGTGCAAGGCACTGCAGAGGAACGCAACTCCATGCCAAGACATGCAGACCACTGCAGATTCACGCAGAGCACCGCGAAGCGGGCGGAGGCGAGGCGACGGGCGGCGACGAGGCGGCAACGTGGCGGCGACATGGCGGCCAGAGCGCCACACAGGCCCAGGAGACGGGCGGCGACGGGGCGCGACGGCGCTACACAGCCGTGGGATCGCCACACAGGCTCAGTTCCCCAGCAAAAGACGCAATAACCCATACGGTGGGGGCGGGCAGTAAGAAGTCATATGCTTTTCGTCAGGGTACCCTCGGTTTCTTTGCTCCTCGCTCTGCGCGGCGACTTTCCGCGGCCGTTGAAAGAGCTGCTGCGTTCAGGGTGCTCCAGGTTTCCCCTCAGGTGCACCTCGCGCGCGGGTTCTCAGGGTTGGGTTTCTTGCGAGGGTTTCTTGCGGCCGCGCCCGCACTGTAAGTGCAAGCGCTGCTTGGGGAAACTGGTGATACCCGTGCCAGTGCAAGTGTTGCGTCGGCCCCGCACGGTCAATTCACCCTGGGACACCAGCTTCCGAAACACTTCGTGCCATCGGAGGTAGCAGGGAAAGTGTTTCAGTGTTTATGGGGGTGTCCCACTCTGCTTCCGACGTGTTTCAGCCGATCCACAGGATGTCTGTTACCCCTTTGCGGATCCGACGATAGCAAGGAGGTCACTTCATATGCATCGCCGCTGGCCTTCGATTTTGGTGCCTACTCCATCTCCAATTCCCGCCCTAAACCTCACCAGTATCTGCATCACTGATTCTGGTCGCCCGTTCACATGATCCGACTCTCGACCCCCATTCTGACCCAGTTCCCCATTCCCGACCTCAGGACCATCCCATTTCCTCCACGTTTGGATTTTTGAATTATTCACGCTTCGCTTGTGACGCCGCTGGCGCCTTCGCCCGCGGCTGCGACGGAAAAGCATCCCAACCAGTCGTCCGTACCCCCTTTGGCTCAAGTCGTCTGGGCTCGAGCACGCCCCTGGCTCAGGTGCGCGCCCTGGCCCGTGGGATGGAAGCCACCGTGACGCGGTGGCGGCAGCGACGAGCAGCGGCCGCCTGCGCCGCAGGTGCCGCGGCTGGTCTCAGTGGAGCTGCCCTCCGGCGGCGCCGCTCGCGCTGGGCCGCCGGGCTTGGCGGCCGTGGCGCCCGGGTCGGCTGGCGGCGGCGTGCTCCCGGGGGCCGCCGCTGCTGCTGCCTGCCCGCTGGCGGCGGCGGGCGGCGGCATGGCTCGGTGACGTCGCCGCGGCCGGCCCGGCTGGCGGCGGCCCCTGCCCCCGCTGCCGCTGCTGCCGTCACCGCGGCTGCCAGCCCCCCGGCGGCGGCGGCGGTGTGCGAGGGTGGCCCGCGGCCCTTTGGCTCTCGCCTTGCGCCGGCCGCCGCCGCCGCGGCCGCCGCTGCCGCGGCCGCCGTGCGCGGGTTAGGATGTTTGGTAAAATTGATGGATCTCCCCGCTTCCAGAACTGGCGCGGGCTTCCACTTGCGGTCCCCTCGCTCCTGCCCTTGCCTCCTGCTTGCTCGCTCTCGCTCCTTCTCTTCTCACCGCCGCTTGGCGGCTCAAGCCTTTTCGAAGGCCAAGCGGGGGGTCGGCCTCAGTTGGCCTAAGGCCGGGCCCCGGGACCGGGGCCAGAAGACTTTCAGGGCCTGGGACCAGATCTGAAAGGGGGCGCCCGCGGCCGCGTGATGCCGCGCCTGGCGCCGCGCGGCTGGGGGGCGGCGGCGACGCTGCCCGCGGGCGCGCAGCTGCGCAGCGGCGAGGGGCCCGGGCGCCGAGCGGCGCCGGCTCACGCCAGCCGCGGAGCACCCGAGGGCGAGGTGGCAGCCGCCGAGGCAAGGCCGCCGCCCCCCCCCGCCGAGCCAGCGGCCAGGCGCGAGCCCGCGCCGGCGCCGGCTCGACGCCAGGCGAGGGCGGCAGAGCGCGCGCGCGCGCGCCGGGGCCCGCCTGGAGGAGCTGCCCCGGGGCCTCGGCGCCGCCGCCAGCCGGCGGGCGCTACGGCCGCGCTGCAGCCCTGCTGCTGACCCTCGCGGTGGCGGTCGAGGCCGCCGACGCCGACCACGAGGCCGAGTACATGTACTACGACGACGTGTCGGACGTGGACATGAAGGCGTTCTGGCTCGACGGCACCGTGGTCCCCTCCTCGCGCGTGGACACTCTGCCGATCAGAGCGCACCCCGCAGGCGAGCATGCTGCTCCCGCGGGAGGTGCCGGAGGGGGTCCGCCGCGCGAGCGCTCCGCGCCGCCGGCCGACCCACCTCCCCAAGGCCCGACCCACACCCCCCCCCCGACCCCTCCGACTCGGACTCGTCGTCCTGGATCAGGGGTTGGGGTTTTTTCGGCATCAGTTGGAGGGACATCGGCAACCGCGCCCACTTGATCGCCGAGGGGATGGGCGGGGGCACTTTCAGGGCTGTTGGGAGCTTCAGGTCTGCCTTTTCGACTCGCGAGGCAGGAGGTTGGCTGAGCTCCGACGGCAGCTGGGTGCTGTGCATGGCCGACCAGATGGCCCTATACCTGTTCGGCTCCGCGTGGCCGCAAGTCGCCGGGCTCGTGGCGATCCTCTCCGGCACCGGCGTGATCGCGCTCCTGGCCCGCAGCTTGAGGACGCTCTTTGCTCCCTGCAGCTGGGCAGCTTGGACATGCGGTCTGGTGCTGGCATGCTGCCCCTGCCCACGGCGCAAGACGCCTGGCGAGGCCAAGCTTGACAGGCTGGTCCCGCCGGCGGCCCCGCCCCTCACCGACGTGGTATGGCATGGCCCAGCCGTGGGTGCAGATCCGACCACCGATTGGTACCGCAAGAGCATCAAGGAGGGCAGGGGCTCCAAGCGCGGCGAGAACGACCTCCTGTTCAGGGTCGACTACCGAGTCGCGCGGCTCATGCTCAACATGAAATCCCCAGAGCGCATCAACCGCCAAGGATTGTGGGTCGAGTGCGACTCCGTGAAGGGCGCGAGCGACATGGGCTTCCGGCGCGAGCTCGAGCAGCGCGACCAGCGCTGGCTCCACCTGCGCCGCTCCGCCGGCTGCACGGGGTGCAAGGGGCGCGAGAACGAGCTGCACTGCAAGGAGTACGCCGCCCTCGACAACGAGGCTATCGTGGACCTCGGCGACTACTCGAAGTTCACACCCTGCCGGATCTTTGTTTGGCTCTGGCGGTGGTTGGGCTTGACCTACAAGCTGCTGCTGTACGTCATCTCATGGCTTTCGTGTTGCGGGGCGCGCCTCTGCCGCCGGCGACGCCGCCGTCGCAAGACTGGCGATGCGGAGCCTGGTGCGCAGGGGTCCGTGGCGAGGCTGCTCGACCAGGAGTCCGAGTCCGAGGTGGGCGTCGAGGACAACCCTTGCGAGGCGGTGAAGGTGGGGCTCATGATCAACGGCAAGATGCGCCCACTGGCGCCTGAAGGCTGTCGCGATGCCGCTCGCGGTGAGCCGCCCGCGCGGTTGGTGGAAGACGGCCGAGCCTCGGACCCCGCGCCCCCCAGCGAGGGGAACGCGACGGCTTGCCTATGCGAGCACCACGGGCAGATCTACATGGTCTTACGCTATGGCGAGAAGTGCTCCCAGGTAACGTGCTTCCGCGAAGCGGTGGGCATGGCCTCGGGAGTGCCACTCTGCCTGCGGCACCTCGGCGGCGACGCGGCCAAGGCGATCAACGACGCTCCCGCAAGTGGCGGGTTCTTCGCAGGTTTGCGGCGTCGGACCAGGAGGAGCCCCGCTCCGCGGAGCCGCGCGCCAGAGCGTGCTGCCGCCGCTCCAGGTCGGAGCCGCACTCCAGGGCGCTCCACTCCGGCGGTTCCCGCCCCGGAGGCACCCACCAGCCTGGGCGACCCTGTCCCCGCGCCTGCGGGACCACCGAGCGTGCGATTTGAGGCGCCGCCGGTCCCAGAGTTCCCCGAGCCGCCCACGCCGCCGCCCATGCCGCTCGGGCAGCATTTCATCGTTCGGGCGCAGGTGCGCTGGCCAGAAGGGGCGCAGTGGATGATCTTCAGGGGAAAGGCAGCCGATGCCGCCGCAGCCAGCGCGGTCGCCGAGTACCTTGACGGCGCGATGGCCCTCGAGGTGGAGGATCCGACCGGCACCATCATCCGTTTTCTGGTGAAGCCTGACGGCGTCATCCGTGCGCC